CCTGGACTTTATATCCAGGAACAAGCAATATGGTCCAGATTATGCCGACCCCCCGGGGAAGCCAGAAGTCTCCTCGGTATCACACTCGGGGATAATTCGCTGCGAAGGCACAGCTCCAGATGGGGAAGGCATTAACGGGGTGACCCCAGGCTGCATTTCACTGCATCTCCCTGCAGCCGTCTCATAAAGTTCTCCAGGATGTCAGCAACCAGCGCACGCGGCCTACCACAGCCCCGAAAGAAAGGGGGTCCCCCGCTGCCTATTTAAGGATGGAGCAAAAACTGTTTTTTTTTTTTCTCCCTCTTTTTCAAGGAGAAGGAAAGCACATTAGCAGATGGGTCCCAGGCTACGGAGAGCCTCTGATGGCTCTGCCTCATTTGTGGAAGTGACATATCCTGCCTCGGCGGCCGGCCATCCAGCCCCTGTGCCAACCCCCAGCTCCCAAAGACCATGTGAATGAATCATTCTGGGTACCCACCTGCAACCTGAGTGGACAAGGAAAAAAATCAGATCGACTGGACATTAGTTGTCATTAAAAATATCGCGGTTTAGCCGGGCACGGTGGCGCACGCCTGTCATCTCTGCGGCTGGGGAGGCTGAGGCTGGAGGATGGTGAGTTCAAAGCCAGCCTCCGCCAAAGAGAGGCCCTGAGCCACTCAGGGAGACCCTGTCTCTCAATAAAATGCAAAATAGGGCTGGGGAGGGGGCTCAGGATTGGAGGGTGGACTTCTGTATCCCATCAACCGTGATGTGTGGAAAAGTATTTTCTTGCACAAAATTAAGGCAAAGACAGATGAGTCATGGGCACGACCGGCTCTTACTGGGGCTGCATCATCCTCTACAAACACAGTAGAGGCTCGAGGAAACTTTTTTATAGCAAATTCCTCTTGAAAGAGTGCAGTCTGGCCTGATGCTTTGTGGTAAAAGGGACAGAAACGCATAAAATTTCAAAATTGCTTTGTTTTACAGATTTTGAGTCGCCCCCGCCCCCTAGTGGTCAATTGAGCTGAGTGCATCACACTCTCACGGCTCCGTAAGACCAGGAGGGAGAAGGTTGAGGTGGAGGTGATGCATTTTGTTGTATTTTCTATTTTATTTTTGCTCAGCAGATGATGGTGATTTTGTCCATAACAACAGGAAAGACAGTGGAATGAATGGGACGTCACTGTCCTATGTTCATTACGAGTCCACGATCATGTGCCATCACAGAAATGAGACCCTGCTGGGCTCAGTATAGCACCCACCTGTCATCCCAGCACCTTGGGAGGCTGAGGCAGGAGGATCGCGAGTTCAAAGCCAGCCTCCGCCAAAGCGAGGCCCTGAGCAACTCAGGGAGACCCTGTCTCTGAATAAAATGCAAAATAGGGCTGGGGACGGGGCTCAGGGGTCGAGTGCCCCTAGGTCTCATGTTTGTAGAAATATGTCCACTGTCACGGATAACCGAAAAGAACCAATTTTTTAAGGGTCAACCTGGACTTTCATGCACGATGCAAATGAGGAGCCAAACCGGTCCTTCCCTGAACCCCTTGGTCCCAGACTTTGGGCCGAGTTAGTTCTGAAGCCAGGAACCAGGTGCGGATCTCACGTGCCTCGCGCTGTAGAATCCTGGGTTCTGTGTTCTAAACCTGAGGTCCCTTTGGAACCCGGTTGCTAGGACCCAGTTTCTCGGGTGGCCAGTCCGCACTAGAGGGTTGGCTTTACCGTCTGCGGTCGGCAGGTGACCGGCACAGCACTTCCTGGTGGTGGAAGTGACCTCGCCCAGCATCGCCCCCTGAGGCCGACCAAGCATCCCATGCAACACCGTCCTGAGCAGAGGCGTCCTAACGCAAAGTTACTACCTGGGAAATTTCCAGAAATCAGTGCCTCATAAACTCTAAAAATCACATTTTCAACAGGGAATCGTTGCAATTGCTGTATTTTATGCAGAAATCCTTGCAACGATGACAGCCTCCCTCCCGCAGGGTTCTGAAGACGGGGATCTGGTTTGCAACCTGGGCAGCTGTACATGTCCTCGTCCGTCAGGCTTCCGAGAGTGATGGTGGCCAGTCCACGTGCAGCTGACCTTGTCTTCCCGGGGCTGCTGCAAGCAAGCAAGCGGTCATGCAGACGGCTCAGCGGAGAGCCACAGGTTGCCCCGAGGCCAAGAAAACGCTTCCCACAGCTAAGCGGGTGCTTTAGCTTGGCACTAAGTGACTCTCGATGCTGAAAGAAGTGATCCACAAGTTTTCTCTTTAAAAAGCAAAAAAAAAAAAAAAAAACAAAATTAAACAGGAATCGAGTCCTTGAAACTGCTGCAGGAGATGGGAAGCTTCTCTTGCTGTCCTCCAGTTGTTGCTTGACCAACGTTCCACCAGGTGCCCAGTGGATTTGCACTTCAAATCTGGGATTCCAGGGCTTGGAATTTTTGCAAATGGTGAGTCCTGGGTGGTGTGCTTTCCGTGAAAAAGAAAAAGAAATTGGTCAGCGCCCTCTACTTCTGTAAGCAGAGAGGGCTGAGTATCCATCCCTCTGTGTGCAATGTTCTTTAAAATATTGGAAGAAATAGCATACAGCCCTGAAGAGGTAATGGCCCTCCATAGAAACTCACTTTGCTTTTTCTTTCTGCTCTGAACCATCATCATTTGCTGATTTTTTTAAAAAATAAGGTGTCTTTGACCCGCCTCCCGAAATGTATCCAAACAGAGGAACATTCTAGCAAATCTGCCTAGAAGGCAAGAGGAAGCCCAGCCCCAAAGTCTTGGAGGGAGGGTGATATTAGACCACCTCCCAAGCTGGGCTGCTGCATCCTGCAGCTCCCCAGCAGCCTGTCCAGTCCCCTGAGTGTCCCCTTCCTCCTGGCCACACTGCCAGCCCCATGCCACCAACCTGAGTGTGGCTGTCCCTTAGAATCAATGGCTCCTCCTGGACTCCCATCCACCAGAAATTGTGTTTGCTTTTTTATCGGGGTTTGTGGGTACCAGGGATCGACCTCAGGGGCACCCGACCCCTGAGCCCCAGCCCCAGCCCTATTCTGTGTTTTATTGAGAGACAGGGTCTCCCTGAGTTGCTTAGCGCCTTGCTAAATTGCTGAGGCTGGCCTCCAATTGACAGTCCTCCTGCCTCAGCCTCCCCAGCTGCTGGGATGACAGGCGTGCGCCCTCGCACCCGGCCCACTTGAACCATAGAGTCCTGGCGTCTTCCGAACATCCACCTTGATGGACAGCCATTAGCGCCACCTGTTTCTAGAACTTTCTCATCTTACCAAATTGAAATTGGGTCCCCATGAAACACCCGTTCCTGGTCCCCGTCCTCAGCCCCCCGCGCCTCCTTTCTCGATGAATCTGAGGACTCCCGGGATCTCGTGATGTGTTAATGTCCACTGTGTTCCTCTAACTTGTCCCCAAACTGGACATTTTTAATAAAAAAAAGTCATGCTAACCTCAGACTCTGGGAGTCTGAGATCCATATGGCGACCTCTGCACTTGGAAGAGATTATTGGACCATCTTGAAACACCCACTGTGGCCACTGTTGCTCTTTTAATATGTATTGTTTAATTTGATATTTTAATTGTAATTCAAGTTTTAATTTAATAGTTATTCTTTAATAATTGATGTTGATTATCATTATTAATAATCGTCTCAAGTATTATATTAATGAATATTAATATAATAAAATTATACATTAATAATTTATATATAGAATTATTTATATATGATAATTTGTAATTATTATATATAAATAATTTATATAATTTATATATGATAATATTATTTATATATAATTTAATATAATATATTATCATACCATATATTATTATATTATTATATATTATATATCATATTATTCCATATTATTGTATTATCATATATTATATTATATATTATTGTATATCATATATCATATTATTATATATTATTGTATTATTATATATCATATTATTCCATATTATTGTATTATTATATATTATATTATTATATATTATTGTATTATTATATATCATATTATTCCATATTATTGTATTATCATATATCATATTATATATTATTGTATATCATATATCGTATTATTATATATTATTGTATTATTATATATCATATTATTCCATATTATTGTATTATCATATATTATATTATATATTATTGTATTATTATATATCATATTATTCCATGTTATTGTACTATCATATATTATTATTATATATTATTGTATTATTTTATATCATGTTAGTATATGCTGAGAGCCACCGCCGAGTCTGTATGGCCCCTGGCATTTTGCCAACAGTATTGATTGACAGGTGAGGCATTACTATCCGCCTCTGCCGCAACTTTTGAGTTCTCGCACTATTTTGGAGTTCTCGTGGGGATTTCCGGGGATTCCCCGAGAGTTCCCATTGGTTGGGGAAGTGCAGGAGGAGGGATTTCCGGGAGAGATATTTCCGGCTGGGGGTTCCTGGACAAGCCTCCTGGCGCGTTGGGGAGGATTCCCCGGGAGCTGTGTGAAGTGTTTTCCTGCAGTTTAAAAATAAAGTTTGTTCCTGCTTCAGTGGCTTGTGATTTGTGCCCAGCCAGACTGCGGCAAGTATATATTATACTATATATTATCATATCATATGTTATATTACTCTTTATCAATATGAATTTACTATTAATAATATTGATGTTTAACATTAATATCATTATATTAATAGCATTGATATCATATATTATTCATAACATCAATATTTAACATTGATATTAATTCAATCAATTGCTGGCATTAACCTTGCTGATGATTTAATGTCATTTGTTCCTCTGACTTGATGATACCTGTCTTTTGTGGTCTGTGCTTAACGGTGCCTCGAGCTGCGGCTCTATTCTGCTTTATCTGTTTGGAATGACCCCCGGGGCGTGCCCGTGCCTTCCCTGAAAATCGAGCATGACCATTTCCCTGTTTTCCTTTGAAGATGGTCTCTCCTCTTCTGTCCCCCAAGAACCCCCCGGGGACAGCCCTGGATGCCACTTAACACCAACGACATCAGTCATGGTATTTATTGGTGATGATAATAATAATATTCGTCGAGTGCTTCTTTTGCAGCAGGTGACTCCCACAAAGTCACCTGTACAAGGCTCACGGCTAATCTTTGAGGTTAGGACGGAGTCCTCCCCGTTACACACGCGTGTGAGCACACACACACGCAATGAAGAAGGCAGAGAAAGTTGTGCCCCGTCGCAGGGTTGGCAGAGGGACAGGCATCTTGCCTCAGAACCAGGTCCTTGTCCATGAGGAAGACAAAGAAAGAAGAAGAAAGGAAAGAACAACGAGGTTTGCAAACCGACTTCAGCAGGATGCCCAGGCTCCATGGAGACCCCCCTGGGGACATGAAATGACTCTGATTTATTAGGTGCAAGGAGGGGTTACTCACTGGACCCCCTCCCAATAGTGGCACGGAATCCACGTTCCTGTCTGTAGGCTCCCAACACAACTTGAAGGGGCGCTAAAGGCTGGGCATTGGAACAAGGTGGTGGCCTCCATTTTGATCCAAAATGGTAGACCCACTCAGGCATGTGGTGTGGCTTGGATCTGGAATGTTCCCCTATGACTCCTGAGCTCCTCAGTGGGTGAATCCATTGATGGGTTCACACTTGAATGGACCATTGAAAAATGGTGGGAACTGAAGGAGCTAGGACCTATTGGGACAAAATAAGACAATGGAGGTGTGGCCATGGGGACTATATCCTGTCCCTGGCTCCTCTCTCTCTGGTACCAGGCTGCCCTGTCCTGAGCTGCTCTCCTCCCCCAGGCCCTGCCGCCATTTTGTTCTGCTCCCCTTGGGCCAGAACCAGGGAGTCGGCCCACCATGGACTGAACCTTCAAAACCATGAGTCCCCAATGAATCTTTCCCAGCTAAGTTGACTTTTCTCAGGTGTTTTGTCACAGTAATGGAAATCTGACTGACACAGCATGTCTGTGGTGGGTAACTAGTGACCCCACTGCTCACAGAGCGGTGGGCAGGATGTCACTTTCTTTGTCACAGCCACAGAAGGGGAAGATCCCGCAGCACGGCTGCAGCCACGGTTTCCAAATGGTGTGGAACACAGATAACTGTCGAGGGACAGGCGTCAGGGACCCACGGTGCTCCTTTATGGCGGCCTCGATCTTCTTGATGACGGAGTCGAACAAGGCTTCATTGTCGGAAGTAAGTGGTTGGGACTCAGAAGGGTCTCTGGAGATGTCGAAGAGGAGCGGTGGGTCATGGTGGGTCACGTCCCCAGAACAGGAACACATGGCGCTTCCGTAGCAGGCGCCGGATCCCTCGGGGTGGAAGTTGGGCGTCACATAATGGGCCTTCCACACAGTACCGCCTGAAAAAGACATCTCCAGTGTGACATGGCGTTTGTGATGGGTTACAGGTGGCTTCTGGGAAAATATATATCTCCATTTTCCAATCTTTTCTTGGTGCATTATAATTGTGAATAACCCTGGGATGCATTGATTCAGATTTGTACATGAACTCAACATAATTTGGTGAGTTTAATTTCCCAATACCGCCCCTCTTCCCTCTCCCTGTGCCATTTCCTGGACTCTACTGGTCTTTCTTCCATTTTTATGAGATTCTCTCTTTTTTCCTCTCTAACTTCCACATACATAAGAAAACATAAGACTTGCTGAGTCTGGATTATTTCACTCAGCAGGATGGTCTCCAGTTCCACCCATTTTCTTGCAAATTCCATAATGTCATTTTTTATGGCTGCGTAACACTCCATTGTCCACATTCTCTTGATCCATCCATTTGCTGAGGGACACCTCTGGGGGTCCTGTGTTTTGGCTACTATGAACCATGCTTCTCTAAACACGGGTTTGCACATACCCAGGATCAACCAAAATGCATGATTTTGGTTCACTTTGGATAAATCCCAAGGAGTGGAACAGCCCGGTCGTCTGGCAGCTCCGAGCCGGGGCCTTTGAGCAACCTCCACTCCTGGTGGCCACCATGATCATGGAGATGCCAACCCCAAATGGCACCTGGATCTGCTGGGGCGTGAGCCCCGTGGAGAATTATCTAAAGCCAACGCCGCTGTCAGAACTGAGATGGTCAGAAGTCCAGGGGCGGAGTCCACCCTTCTTCCCTCCCTCCATCTCCCCCTCCTCCTTCCTTCCCAGGTTAGAAAGGCAGAGACCATCCCTTCTCCCGCTTCCCCGCGCCCACGGTCTCCGTACTCACAATCCTTCTGGTGCCACCGGACGGTGTGCAGGTAGGTGCCGCAGTAGTGGAAGAGGAACTCGTGGTCTGAGTGGGCCACCCTGCCCTCCAGGAGGGGCATGAGGTTACGGCCATCAATCACCCTTAGGAGAGAAGGGCACGGGGGGAAGTGGGTGAGCCGGGCGCTGGGTACCAGCAGGAGCCGAGGAGGAGACTCTTGGGACTCAGGTCCCGGGTTGGAAGAGATGGATCACGGAAATGTCCTGCAGCCCAGGAAAAGCTCCGAGCTGACTCCAGCCCAGTTTCCATCATTTACTACGCGGACGATTCAATAAACGCACCTTTTATTCATCCAGAGACATATTGAGCAAGCGGAAGCTGCCTTTTAAATGTGGTTGGATGCTAAATATAATGCCCAAGTCCCTTTCATGACATGGGGTACTCGCTCCCTGTGACCCTACACATCCTAGATCTTCACGAGATGACCGATTACACTTAACGCAATGGCTTATCTGTACATTTATTTATTTATAGTTATCAGCATTTTCATAAATGATAGAAAATAGTTGAGAAGTTCTATTGTACAGGGAATAATGTCAAGAAAAAAAAAATTCTGTGCACGTTCAGTGCAGACGTAAATGATTCCCCAACGGATTGATGGTTGGTCCAATCTGCAGACGGGGAATCCACTGATAGTAAGGGACCTTGGTGGCCTGGGAGCTATGAAGGTTGTCAACGTGCATCAGGGTTGGATCCTAGTTCTGAGGGCGACCCAGCACGTGCACATAAGGATATAAGTCAGATGAAAGGATCAAGACAATGTGGGATCTGTAGAGTGGAATATTACACAGCCATAAAGAAGGATGGAAATATGGTATTTGCCCATCAATAGGGGAACTGGAGCACATCACGCTGAGTGAAATAAGCCACACTCAGCAAGTCAAAGGCTGGATGTTTTCTCTCATATGCAGAAGCTAGAGCAGCCTAAGGGGAAACTGTGTAAGTGGAGGGGGATTCTATAAAAATGGAAAGGGGTAAGATGGTCATTTATAGGAAAGCGGACACTAAGACATGTTCCAACATACTGCACCACATGCCCAGCAGGGAGGGAGCTGGGTCCCCACAGGAAGCAGTACCCCCCACATGCCTCCAAACACATCCCTCCCCGTGAGCAGGGTCCGTTTTCCTACCTGTCGTGGGGCAAGATCCCTCCCCCGACGTAAGACAGCGTTGGGAAAAGGTCCATCAGACTCGTGGGCTCCTCAATCACCTTCCCAGCCTGCAGCACGGTGGGCCAGCGGAAGATCCCAGGCACGCGGATGCCCCCTTCCCACCCGGCCATGCCGCTGCCACCTGCGACCAAAGATAGGGGAGGAAGATGGTTCTCTAGGGAACAGAAAGACCAGTCCAGCCGGGTGCACTGGTGCACGCCTGTCCTCCCAGCAGCTGGGGAGGCTGAGGCTGGAGGATCGCCAGTTGGAGGCCAGCCTCAGCAATTTAGCAAGGCCGAAAGCAACACATGTACAGGCTCAAGAACCACAACACTAATCAGAATAGGTGCAGATAGTTTTCCTGACTGTATACACACACACACACGTAGAGCCACATAATGGCATTTTGGTATTAATTCATCGTATACAGTTGGTGCATGTGTGTGTGTGTGTGTTTGTGCATTGCTTAAAAAACGGGGGGTGCATTCCTCCTGAGAAATGCATCGTAAGGCAATTTCATCTCTGTGTGAACACGGAGGGCTGTGCTCACACACACAGAGATGACTACGTGGATTAAATTAGATACACACCTATGTTTGGGGACCAGGGATTGATCCCAGGGGTGCTTAACCGCTGAGCCACATCCCCAGCCCTTTTTATTTTTTGATTTTGAGACACAGTCTCATGGAGTTGCTGAGGCTGGCCTCTAACCTGTGATCCTCCTGCCTCAGCCTCCTGAGCCGCTGGGATGACAGGGGTGCGTCACCGCGCCCAGCTAGACGATGTAAGGTGTGGAAACCCTGATACCCTAGTTTTTCCGACGTGGTGTTTTCCAAGGTAAGAAGAAAAGAGCCAACTTCGAATTCCTTTTTCAAATTGTCTTTGTGTTGGTGAAGTTTTGCGATGCCCCAGGAGCAGATGAGTTGTTGAATAAACTACCTCGGAGGGAGGTGGAAGGATCTGCTTCCCATAAAGGGCACCGGGCTACGTTTGGGGACACTTTCAGTTGTCATAGCTTGGAGTTATGCCAGAGCCCAGAGAGGCTGCTCCACCTCCTGCAGCGCACAGCTCAGCCCACCCCAGAGAACCCCCAGCCCCAGAGGCCCCCAGTGCAGAGGAGACTGCAGGACAGAGCCTCTGTCCATCATCTATCATCTGTCATCTACCAATTCTGTCTTATCTATCTGTCTATCTATCTATCTGTCGTCTACCTATTCTGTCTATCATCTATCTATCTATCATCTATCATCTATCCATCCTGTCTATCAGTCCATCTATCTCTCTGTCATCAACCCATCCTCTCTGTCCAGGGGGCTCTCACACCCTGGGTGGGGCTGCTCCTGGCTCCTGGTGTGTGGGGCCCAGAGAGGCTGCTCCACCTCCTGCAGCGCACAGCACAGCCCACCTCAGAGCGCCCCCAGCCCCAGAGGCCCACAGTGTGGACACTGGGAAGCCCTGCCGTTGGTGGCCTGTGAGGTCCCATAAATTTGCTGTCCCAAGGTTGTCACCACCCCTAACATTTTCACCTCCAGCCCTTGGAAGCCCCCTAGAGGCCGCAGCCTCATGATGGATGGGAAGGTGTCTCCAAGCAGCAGAGCCTGGGCAGTGTCCAGGGCAGAGCCGGTGTCCCCCCGGCTGTCACCTTGGTAGACGCCGTTCCAGCCGCCCAGCCGGGCCGCCCCGTCGAGTGCCTCCAGGCGGCCGCCGTTGTCGGAGGTGAAGTGCACCAGGGTGCGGTTGCTCAGTCGCTCCTGCTCCAGGGCCTCCAGGATCTTACCTGGGAGAGGTCACAAAGAGGGCCGTCACAGCAGGTCACGTGGCTGTGCCCGCCCTGTGCACCCCCTCAGACAGCAGGGGACCGGCCAGCGGCTGCACTGAGCGTCCTGCAGAATCCAGAAGTCACCGTCCTGGGACGGCCCTGCCCGTGCCACACAGCAGGACATGCACAGCCCTGCAGGTGGGAAGGCAGCCGCAGACATCTCCTGGACACAGTCCCCTAAACACTCAGGGTGTGCGCAGGACATGTGCAAAATATGTAGAGATGACACAGTGACAGGACAGGCACCTCGATATATACGGTCACCCAGGCCTACTAGAAATCGCTTTAGCCGGGCACAGCGGTGACACATGCCAGTCATCCCAGCAGCTTGGGAGGCTGAGGAAGGAGGATCATGAGATCCAAGCCAGCCTCAGCCAAAGGGAGGCCGTAAGCAGCTCAGGGAGACCCTGTCTCTAAATAAAATGCAAAATAGGGCTGGGGGCGGGGCTCAGGGGTCGCGTGTCCCCAGGATTAAAGTGGATTAAACCAAAAAGGCTCCTACACAGAGGCACAAGCCCCGCCCCCCGTGATGATTGATTGACATGTGTCTCCTGACCCTTCCAAACCCTCCTCTCAGAGGAGGAAGGAAAATTAAACTACGAAGTCAAGCATCCCTTCAAGATGCAGAACTTCCGTCCCACATAGATAGCGGGGGTCAGCGACCAGCACGTCACCATCCTCACCTGACGGGATGCATCCCTTTCCTCCCCAGCCCCAGCCTCCAATTTATCACCTCCGCCATCCATACCGTGCTCCTCGCCATGACTTGGAGACACGTGGCTTTGCTTTGGGCAAATGCCCATGCTGTCCCCCACGAACGTCTGAGCCTGCCCTGTGACACTAATAGCCAAGAATTTGCTTTCCTTCCACGTCCAATAGCTCAGAAGGGTGATTTTGTCCATTATGCAATTTTACTGATCTTGCAACAAATGGCTCAGGAATGAGTCTTTAGTTTTTAAAATGGAAACATCTCTATGGCTGACCTCCGATGACCTGTGATGACCTGCGACTGTGATCTTGGAATGTATCTCACGGGCATCGTTGAACTTTGGCCCAGGTTATAATTCAATGCATTGGATCAACGTATACAGGTGTCCATGATAGGACTGTCCCAGAAGCCGGACGTTACTGAAGACCACCCATCCCGAGTGGCTTTGCTGCAGCCCAGGGATCTGAGACTGAACGCCACGGGCCACGCTACTCACCCACCATCCAATCCATCTCTTCCACGTTATCCCCGTAGAGCCCGAATTTACTGTGCCCCACGAACTTCCCCTTGGTCACGAGGGGAGTGTGCACATGCAGAAAGGAGACGAAGAGGAGGAAAGGTTCTCGCTTGTACCTGAGGGGCGGAAAGTCGGGGTAATCAGCTGCAGGAGCGAGAGCCAGTCCCAACCTGGACGCGGGACCGTGGGTGGGGAGAGCTCGTGTTGGGGGTTGGAGAAGAGGTGGCTTCAAAAGCTTACGAGTGAGGAAGCACAGGAAGGTTCCGAGGTGAAATGGTTGAGTTATGAGAGGTGGAGCCTAATCAGTGGATTAATCCACTTGAGTTGATTCAATGTGGGCAAGTAGGGTGTGGCTGAAGGAGGTAGGTCACTAGGGGAGTCCTCTGGGGACTATGTCTTATCCCTGGATTCTCTCTGTCTCTGCTCCCTGGTGCCCTGTCCTGAGCTGCTCTCCTCCTCCAGGCCCTGCCGCCATTTTGTTCTGCTCCCCTTGGGCCAGAGCCATGGAGTCGGCCACCAGGGACTGAACTTTGGAAACCATGAACCCCAGATAAACTTCTCCTCCTCTGATTATTATGGTTTAGATATGAGGAGTCCCCAAAAACTCCTGTGAGAGACAACAAAAGAAAGTTTAGAAGTGAAATGATTGGGTTATAAATGTGTAACCTACTCAGTGGATTAATCCACTTGGATGGACTCACTGGGTGGTGACTGCAGCAGGTGGGGTGTGGCTGGAGGAGGGGGTCCCTGGGCTGTGCCTTTGGGGTCTCTGTCCTGTCCCTGGTGAGCAGAGCTCTCTCTGCTCCCTGGTGCCCTGTCCTGAGCTGCTCTCCTCCTCCAGGCCCTGCCGCCATCTTGTTCTGCCTCCCCTTGGGCCAGAGCCATGGATTTGGCCAGCCAGGGACTGAACCTTGGAAATCATGAGCCCCAGGTCAACTTTTCCTCCTCTACATTGTGTTTGTGAGGTCTTTGGGTCACTGTGACCAAAAAGGTGCTAAACCACCCGTCTTCTTTTATTCCCTGGTAACACAGGTCTCAATATTGAACGGGTTGTTGTTGAATATCTGAACTCTTCTGGCTGTCTCTGAACAGAATATGGTTTTTAGACACCAATACATCTAGAGCATCTGGGTGAATAAGTAGCAACCGAGGGTGAACAGCAGCACATTAATGAATATATGACACAACATTTATAGAAACGACTCTTTTTTCGTTCCTTCCTCTTCCTGCTTCATGATGCCTGGAACATACACTTAGCTCGTAAGGAACCTAGACATCTTAAAACTAGGTCTCCATCCGCTCAGGGTCCCTCCCCAGCAGCTGACAGACAGAGATGTCTTCCTCCATCTGTCTCTAAGGAAAAGCAAAATGAAGACCCACCACGAATTTCAATCTATCTGCACACCCGTCCCCACGGAGGGAATCTGCATTAAAACACTCTCACCCCACTTTTATGGACAAGAGCAGGGGAGGAAATTGCATGCAAAAATAGCAGGAAACTCAACTCTTTTTTTTTCTATCCAAGGAGAAATTCAAGAATATCTAAAACGTCACCCTGAAAAGATTTGTCGCATCGAGACACACACAGATGCAAAGGCAGTGAAGTTTTTAGAGCCCCCAGGACTGGACCCAGACCTGTCAATAAAGGCGAGAGCTTCCTTCAACATGAGCACGGAGACCCGCTCCTCCCTCATGGGCTGCTGGACGATCTCGTGGTTCCTCATCAGGATGCAGTTCCAGCGCCGGACGAACCCGTAACTGGAGTACCAGGAAACGAAAAAGAGGAGAGCCACAAGGGCAGACAGGACAATGACGCTCCACGGGACCGAGAACCAGCCGGCCAGGTTGGGCAGCAGGAGCAGGACGGGCACCAGGCTGAGGACCAAGGTGGAGATCCACAGCCGGATGCGCAGCCAGCGGTGCAGCTCCGGGGTCTTGGACGCCTGGCACTCGCTCAGGAGCCCGAAGGGCATCCCGTAGAAGTAGTCGAACCCGTGGTTGAGGGGGTGGTGGCAGTGGTCATCCCGAGAGGCGCAGCTCAAACCCTGATGCCACTTCCCTGGAAGGAGAAGAAAAGTCCACCCATCACAGCATCCACCGTGACCACCCTGGGGGATGTTAATCGTCGCTTTTGGACTCTAATCATGGTGGACACCTCTTGGTCTCCCTGGTGACCTTCTGAGGATGCCATCACCCCTTCGTCTGTCTCATTGCAAAGTGGCCAAAATTCTACAGGAGGAATTTCTCCCCAAGAGCCGCTCATCAAGGGAACCCATCATGAGCGCAGGGTTCCCGTGATGCAATCCTTCAATTGTGTCACTTGCACTACTTTGCGGGTCCCATCCGTCTTCTATTTTTTATTATTCATTCATTTTACGGGGACCTACCTATGAGTCCCGTGCGGTATCCCCGATGCTGCAGCAACTTGGCCAAGGTCGTCTCGTTGGTGGGCAGCCCGCCAGACCCACCAAGCCAGGTGAGGCCACGGTTCAGACTATTGGACGAAACCATTCCTAAATTCATAAAAATTAACAGATGAGCATCACGGTCAATCTTTCTGTTATCATCTTTGCTAAATACCAGGGTTCACCCTGACACGTTCCAAATTCTCCCATCCTGCACCCCAACAATGTCCTTTGGTCCCATGTTTTCCTCTACTTTTTATAGCTGCAGAAGCAACCCTATGTGTCTCCGTGTGACTGGGTCCGGAGAGCCCCATGGGTGCCAAAACCCACCAATGCTGTTGCTTGTAAAAGAAGACTCAGCTTTTGCAGGGGCCTGGAGGAGGAGAGCAGCTCAGGACAGGGCTGACCTTGAACTTGATTTCTGGACTTCAACTTGCCCAGAGAGGGAAACTGCTCATCTACATCTCTTCTCCTAAAGTAAATTTGTGCCTTCAACTTCAGAACTAGGGAGCAACAGACCTGGGGACCTCAGTAATTTCAGCATGTGGAATGGACATCCCAACATGAAACTGCTTCAACCCATGTCAACCAAGCCCAGCATAATCCAGCGCCATGTTTGGATAACTACCTGCATGAAATATTCTGACTCTCATCTCTGAAGCCACAACCTTGGGACACAGCTTCAAGAGGACAGTGTCCCAATTTACCATAGGATGTCCCTCCTACCAGGCTCTGAGTTATGGTTCGGATTGAGGTGTCCCTCAAAAGCTTTTGTGGGAGATGGTGCAAGAAAGTTCAGAGATGAAATCATTTGATTATGAAGGCCATAACGTACTCAGTGGATTAATCCACTTGAATGGACTCACTGGGTGGTGACTGCAGCAGTTGGGATGTGGCTGGAGGAGGTGGTCCCTGGGCTGGGCCTTTGGGGTCTCTGTCCTGTCCCTGGTGGGCAGAGCTCTCTCTGCCTCCTGGTGCCCTGTCCTGAGCTGCTCTCCTCCTCCAGGCCCTGCCGCCATTTTGTTTTGCCTCCCCTTGGGCCAGAGCCGTGGAATCAGCCAACCATGGACTGACTCATGAGCCAAAAATAAACTTTAATTCCCCTATTTTTTTTTTCTTGTCACATCCTTTGGTCACAGTGAAACACTCAGTCATCTCAGGAGGAGCCCTTCTCATTTCTGTCCCTGCCCCACTCAATCCTCCTTAGAGTCCCACTAGATTCTTCTCTAGAAACCACCAGGTTCCCATCCCTCAAAGCTCAAATCCAAACTTGTGATGTGATTGATGGTCTACCTGACTCCGCACATGGCTGCCTTGTGACAAGGACTGAAGAGGAAGGGAAAGAGAATGCAGAGGCACTTCAGGGATAATTCTGGGACAGCATCTCTCCAGAGGTACTTAAAGATGGAACTATTGGGCAGATGTGGTGGTGTGCACCTGTAATTCCAGTAACCCTGGAGGCTGAGGCAGGAGGATTGCAAATTGGAGGCCAGCCTCAGCAATTTACCAAGGCCCAAATCATCTTAGTGAGACCCTGTCTCTAAATAAAAATTGAAAAGGGCTGGGGAAGTGGCTCAGTGGTAGAGTCCTTGCCTAACATGTGGGAGGTTCTGGGTATAATCTCCAATCCTATAAAAGAAAATTTAAATAATAATTAGAAGAAAAGAAGGAAGAAAGAGAGAAGGAGGAGGAGGGAGGGAAGAAATAAGGAAGGATGGAAGGAAAGAAGAAAAGAAATTTCCATGAGTCAAAATTCTCTTACATTTTTCCTCTCCTACCTGATCGGATGGGGTACCGGCCAGTGAGGAAAGCCGCCCGGCTCGGGGTACAGACGGAGGCTGCTGCCAGGTGTTGGGTGAGCCTCACGCCCTCGTTTGCCAGACGGTCGATGTGAGGGGTGCTGCAGGAAAGATTTAGAGAATTTAGCAGGTGGGATTCCAATCCCTCCCAAAAAAGGATTGAGATTCAAAGTTGTTCTCTTTTGGGTTGAGGTGACTGTTTCTGGCCACTTTAAAATACACCCTTCTATCTATCTGATACCTTGATCTATCTTCTTCGTTAGATGCTTTGGTAGTTACAAGCAGACAGAGCACAGAGTAGAGTTCACTCTTTATCTGCAGTTTGGGGTTGTGAGGTTTCTCTTACCCATGGTCCATCCTGGTCCAAAAATATGAGGTGGACAATTCTAGAAATAAACAGTTACTTTTAAATTGCACACTGTTCTGAAAACCACCATGTATTCTTGAGCCATCCTGCCAGGGACATGTATTATCCCTTTGTTCAGTGTATCCACCCTGTATATGCTACCCTCCTGCTACAGTAGGGGAAAAAATTAGCATATATAGGATTCAGTACTCTCCAAAGTTTGAGAAATTGACTTAGGATCTTGGAATGGATCCTTGAAAATAAGGGGGGGGGTCTACCAACTCTGTAGGCAAAACTATTAGTGGATAACAATACCGTTCCCTGGGTATAACTTATTTTGAGTCTGCGTTTAGGTGCATTTCAATAGAAAAGTGAGTTCATTTGTTGGTATTACTATCCTAAAATTAACGAGGAACTTAGATGAAGCAAAATTTTAATGGGTTTCTTGTAGAAAAAAACCAGCCTCTTTAATAGCTAAATTGAGACAGTATGGAATTTATTTCCCATTCTGTTGAATGTTTTCAAGTCTCCAAAATCAATACAAAATTTTGTGTAAATCTGTAATGATTACAGATTTTTAAAAAAAGGAGAGAGAGAAAAATTTTAAGTTTGAAAAAGCAGCTAGAAGCCTATCCAGTCACAATCTCATATGAACTTGAGCACGTTACTTTCACAATCCCACAGACACATCTGAGGTTTTTCTGGGCATTTCCTGTGAGTAGAGACGAAATGTAGGAAGCTCCGACATCGTCTCTGAAATGGACAAAGCTTGAGGACATGAGGCTCAGTTAAACTATCCAGGTGCAAAACGACACATCGTGCATGTTGTAGTCTCCACTGTATGCTGCATGAATATCCATTTTGCATCCAGCGTCCTGGGCCACCTCTGCTATCCCCCCACCCCTGATATACTGATGTTGGACTCTGGCATTCCCATGATGGCAGAGACGTGGGTTGGGTCACGGGCTCCAACACAGCAAGCGGACATCCCACAAGGCATCTTTACCTCACGGTGTTATTACCGTAGCAGCCCAGGTCACCCAAACCAAGGTCATCCGCCATCAGCAGGACGATATTGGGCCTGGAGTTCCATGTCACAAATGTCCCATTCAGGCCACCAAGCAGACAGCATAGGGGCATCCACAGCCAGTGCTTCCTGAAAACATTTTTTTTTGGTGGGGGGGGGAGAAAAAATAAAAAGGAAGAAAAATTAATGTGTGCATTTTAGATAATTATAGGATACACCTGGGTAACTTATTGTAAAGTCAGTATTTTTTTAAGTAGTCATGTTCTGTGTTAATATCGTACCACATGTGAGCAATTTAAGTGAGGTCTTGCCGCGCACGGTGACACACACCTGTAATCCCAGCAGCTCCAGAGGCTAAAGCAGGAGGATCACAAGTTGGAGGCCAGCCTCAGCCAAAGCGAGGCCTTAAGCAACTGAGTGAGACCCTGTCTCTAAATAAAATGCAAAATAGGGCTGGGGATGGGGCTCAGGGGTCGAGGGTCCCTGAGTTCAGTCCCTAGTACCCCTCCGCACAAAAGTGTGTGTGTGTGTGTGTGTGTGTGTGTGTGAGAGAGAGAGAGAGAGAGAGAGAGGAAGAAGGAAGGAAGAAAGAAAAATTAGTTTTGCATATTCTTAAAATTGCATATGCAAAGGATTGTATGGTCTATTCATTTCTTGGGTTCTTAATTTTGTTGGTTTTTTTGTCCTTTGGCTGTAATAAATTGTCATTGACAACACAACTCTAGGCTGAGTCCTGAATGTCCCACAGAGGAGAGCCAGACCTGGAGGTGTTTGGCAGGACAGCCAGAAACAAGATCTCACAAAATATGATACCTGCAGAGGGTAAGCTCACAGGTAAAGAAAACAAAGTAGGAAGGGAAATATTTCCATGAGCAGGTGGAGATGTGACGATAGGTAGGTACAGGACAGAGATGGACGGATGATGGAGATACATAGATGATCAATACACAGATGGTAGAGATGATAGGTGGATGGACGGATGGATAGATAGATGGACAGATAGAGCAAATGCATGGAAGGATGGATACATACCTAGATAAGAGAGATGATGGATGGACAGCTGACGGATGGTGGATGGATATGTAGATATGATAGATGGAGAGAGAATTAGCTGCTAAATATGTAGATATGCACATAGAGGCATAGATAGGCGTGATAGGTGATAGATTCATGATAGATGGTAGACAGATGGTGGATACTTAGTACAAGGATAAATGGATGGATGATAGAGATAGATGCATAGATACATCTATGGATCATAGATACAGAGATGCATAGATAGATAAATAGAGGATAGCAATAGAGTTAGATGCATAGATAATAGAGATAGATAGATAATGGATGGAGAGATGGATGGATGGATAGATTGATGGATGGGTGGATGGATGGATAGATAGGTAGGTAGAGTTCATGGATGGATGGATATATGGGTGAATGGATACATAGATAAGATGGATGGAAGATGGGTGGATAGATAGATGGAGTTCATGGATGGGTGGAGAAATCAATGTATGGATGGATGGATGGATGGACAGATAAGATAGATGGATATATAGATAAACAGATGGATACACGGAAGATAGATACATAGATAGATGCATAATAGAGATGATAGATAGATAGATAGATAGATAGATAGATAATAGAGGTAACGTTTATGGATGGATGGAGAGATGGATGAATGGATGGGGGTGGATAGATAGACAAGATGGATGGAAGATGGATGAATGAATAGATGAATGGATGGATAGATAGACTGACTTCATGGATAGATGGAGAGATGGATGAATGGGTAGATGGATAGATAAGATGGATGGAAGATGGATGGATGGATAGATAGAGTTCATGGATGGATGGAGAGATCAATGTATGGATGTATGTATGAATGTATATATGGATGGACAGATAAGATGGATGGATAAACAGATAAATAGATGGATACATGGAAGATGATAGATACATAGGTAGATGCATAATAGGGATGGATAGACATAGATAGAGTTCATGGATTGATGAGAGATGGATGGGTGGGTGGATGGATAGATAGATAAGATAGATGGAAGATGGATGGATAAATAGATGGATACATGGATGAAAGATACATAGGTACATAGATAGATACATAATAGAGCTAGAGAGATGATAGATAGATAGATAGATAGATAGATAGATAGATAGATAGATAGAGATAGATAATAGAGAGAATTTATGGATGGATGGAGAGATGAATGGATGTATGGGTGGATGGATAGATGGATAGATAAAATGGATGGAAGATAGATGGAGAGATAGGGTTCATGGATGGATGGAGAGATGGATGCATGGGTAGATGGATAGATACATAAGATGGATGGAAGATGGATGGATGGATAGATATAGTTCATGGATGGATGGAGAGATCTATGTATGTACGTATGGATGGATGGATAAATAGATAAAATGGATGGATAAACAGATAAATAGATGGATACATGGATGATAGATATATAGATACATAGATAGATACATAATAGAGATGGATAGATTTGGATAGATAGATAATAGACATAGAGTTTATGGATGGATGAAAGAGATGGATAGATAGACTGACTTCATGGATGGATGGATGAGTAGATGGATAGATACATAAGATGGACAGAAGATGGATGGATGGATAGATAGAGTTCATGGATGGATGGAGAGATCCATGTATGGATGGATGGATAGACAGATAAGATGGATGGGTAAATAGATAAATAGATGGATACATGGACAATAGATACATAGAAATAGATGCATAATAGAGATGGATAGATGATAGATAGATAGATAGATAGATAATAGAGGTAAAGTTTATGGATAGATGGAGAGATGGATGGGTGAGTGGATAGATAGACAAGATGGATGGAAGATGGATGAATGAATAGATGAATGGATGGATAGATAGACTGACTTCATGGATAGATGGAGAGATGGATGAATTGGTAGATGGATAGATAAGATGGGTGGAAGATGGATGGATAGAGATAGAGTTCATGGATGGATGGAGAGATCAATGTATGGATGGATGTATGAATGTATATATGGATGGATGGATAGATAGATAAGATGGATGGTTATATAGGTAAATAGATGGATACATGGAAGATAGATACATAGATAGATGCATAATAGGGATGGATAGATATAGACAGAGTTCATGGATGGATGACAGATGGATGGATGGGTGGGTGGATGGATAGATAAGATGGATGGATATATAGATGGATACATGGACGATAGATACGTAGATAGATGCATAATAGAGATAGATAGATATAGATAAATAGATATAGAATCAATAGGTGGACAGATGGATGGTAGCTGCATGGATGGATGGATACATAGATAATAGAGGTAGAACAGACAGACAGACTACTGCAGAAACCTTAATGCCCCAGTCCACAAGGACACGTCAATCATGAACCGCGTGACTTTAAATAGAGTCGCAATTCCAGGAGGCCCAGCTTGAGGAGCGCAGGAGGACAGTGGCCGGGCACAACCCCATGGGGAGATTCTGAGCACCCATCTCCGAGGCCAAGAGCAGGAAGACTCGGGCAGGACGGAGCCTCCCTGGGGAGGAAGGCTTCCCTGTGGACCCAGGAAATGACCCCTGTGCGAGGTGGGCGACTCACCAGCCGCAGAGTGGCCGTCCCATGGCTCCTGATTCTGTGACCTACGGAAGAGAAGACGTTGAGAGCGTCCAGAGAGCAAAGCCTTCCTCGGCCCCTGGGAGGCAATGGTCCAGCAAGCCCTGGATTGCTATCCATAATGACAAACATGTGACCTCAGGCTAAATGGAGCTCGCGGGGGTCTATGGAGAGCGAGGTAGTTCCAAAGGCCGACTTCCAAAACACTTTGCAGACTGACCTCCCCAACCCTTCTGGGTTGGAGTCATACAATAATTTGCCCCTGACCTCACTTTTCCGTGGTGCTCGGCTAAGTGACATTCTCTTCCTCCACAGGGGATCAACATGTCCTGCTCAACATGCAAATTCTGTAGCCAGGGGGGGCTTGCGTTTGCAGCTTCTTGGAGGCCGAGTTGATTGTGCATGGGAAGAGAGGTTTCCCCAAACTAGACGTGACCCCATGTTCAGAATCCAAAGACTGGCGTCATCTGGGATCTGATTTCCAGGGCGCTCCGGTGACTCCAAGTTGGTGAGCTGGCGGAGGCTAAGAAGACCCCGCAGGACAGACAGCAGGTGACGCACCTCAGTAGCAGCACCACCCTGTGGTTTATGGGGCTTTCTAATCCCCGAGGCTCCTCCATACATTTATTCCTATTTTGTCCCAATGATATGTTGGCTTCCAAGGGCAAAGGATCAATGGGCAATTTTCGGAAAGAAGAAACCAACGATGCTGGAGATTTGAAGACCTCACCGTCTCTTGAATAAGGCTGCTATCGCACAGGAGGGTTTCAAAACGGGGACCTCGTTTGAGGAGGACCCCATTCATCCCAGGCTGAATATTATGGGTCTTTTTGTATTAGACCTGACCTCATTGAAACCACTACTTAAAAAAAAAAAAAAATCACACTGTGACCAGGCTCAGAGGTGCATCCACTGTGATCCCAGTGGCATGGGAGGCTGAGGCAGGAGGATCAAATTTGGAGGCCAGCCTCAGCCACTGAGTGAGGCCCTAAGCAACTCAGCAAGACCCTGTCTTTAAATAAAATATAAAAAGGGCTGGGGATGTGGCTCAGTGGTCAAGCACCCCCTGGGTTCCATCCCTGATACCACAAAGAAGAAAAAAGAAAACACTAATTTTCTATGTCTCTATTTCATTGTGCAACAGATTAGAAAAATTCAGGTAAATCCACAGCAAATAAATCTAGAGTTTCCCAAGACGTTAGGGGACAGAGACAGAAACACTCGTGAACACACAGGAGGTTTTTTAGAATTTGCTAATGCAACTTGAGCATGCATTATCCCAAATGCCTGGGATCAGAAAAAAAAAATCTATTTGTTTTTTAAATAGTGCAATACATGCATGTATCACCTGGGATGTCTGCAGAGCATGACCCGAGGCTGAGCATAAAAATGCCTTTACATTTCCCCATCCCAGAGAGCCTGGAGGTATTTGATACGATATTTCTTAGGGTGTCTGCATTTTGACCGAGACTCATTACAGGAAGTCGGGTGTGGAACTTTCCGCTTCTGCTGTTAATGTTGGGTCTCAAAAGGTGTCGGCTTTGGGATCAGGTGGGGTTCCAGATTGTTGGATTGGCAACGCTCGACTTGCAGCCACTTTCTCCCTAACTTTGGAAATATTTCTCCAACCCATGATCGGGAAGAACCACTGTGGACGTCCCTAGCCACCAGCACAAAGCTCTCCGTGACTGGCAAGAAACCAGAGCTATTTTTTCATATTTTTTTTGCATGTTTTTTCTAGTTTTACGTAACCGTGGGATGCATTGTGACCCGGCCACGGTGGGGAAAGGGGTCAAGGTGCCATTTGTGGAGAGCGCCGTGGAGCAGAAGAGAATGGACCCTTTCCATCCCAGAAGGACCCCCTGGGAGTGTAACTGGGGAGAAGGTCGCTAAGACAAGGGCGTTTCAAGGACACCACTCAGTAGAACAAACCTAGGGCAGACCACCGTGATGGGGACGAGAGAGGAAGGGTGGGAATCCATGGGACCAAATCCAGGTTCCATTTGGACGCGGGTGAGCATGGAGAGGACAGGTGATCATTCCCAAAGACCAAGGAAGAGATTGGCAGGCGCAAGGACCTGGTTGTGACCTCCAAACGAAGGAAGACGGGTGGATCCCACATGATGGAGCGTGTCACCAACTCTGGATGACAGGAGAAGAGGCCACCCCCCCCCAGGACATGGGGAATCCAGGGGATGGAGAAGAGTGTCCCGTGATGGCGTCAGGGGACATTTGGGCATGTCCGCCAGCAAGGGACAGGGGAAGGTGTTCTTGCACAAGCAAAAGGGCTCAACGAGGGCTGGCCCAGAAGTGGACGTCCCCAGCGAGGTCGAAGTCCCTCTGACAAATAAAGGAACGAGTGGCCGGAATGATGGGCTTAGTGACCTCTTCCACTGTGGCTGGGAGACACCCTGGGCCCCGGGACGTCAGGGAGTGACCGCTTTTGGAGCTGGATCTTTAAAAATATAATTGAGGTCCACTGAGGTCACCAGGGTGGCCCTGACGCAACAGGACCGGGGCACTTATAAAAAGAGGAGATGAGGACACAGACGCACACAGAGGGACGCCCCGGGAGGACACAGGGAGAAGACGGCGGCTGCCAGCCCAGGGGAGAGGCCTCGGGAGGAGCCCGCCCTGCCCAGCCTGGACCTCGCACCTCCAGCCTCCAGGACTGGGAAGGAATAAATATCTGTTGCTTCCAGAAACCAGTTTAGGGTAATCCATTGCAGCACCCGTAGAAAGTGAATATGAATAATTGGAAATCCTCTTGCATGCCGAGAACAATCATCAGCCAGAGTCACATTGAGAGAAAAAACCAACCAACAACAACAACAAAAAAAACCCCTAATGCTACATTTTTATACATAAATTAGAAAGGAGACCAAAAAGATACCAGTGATCAACGAGTCCCTAAACATAGACATAACCCCAGCAAGCACAGAAAATGAAATTTAAGGGTGATGAGATAGTGTGCCTTCCTATGCAAAGAGCAATCATTTTTAAATTTGGAAGTTGCATAAGTTGCCGCTAAATACTGTAATGCAAAAGAGACAGTCACCAAAAAAAAGCAGGTGTGTGTCGGGGATTGCGGGAGCCAGGATCAAAGATGTGGCAGGTAAGGCTGTTTTTTAGACACAGCCGAATTGAACCATCTGCTCTCCAAAGACAAGTGGGGAAAGATACTATAGGACATGAGTCTCTTGGTGTCTCTAGCATTAAAGCAGGAGAGAGCTGGATCCATTGAAAGAGGGGACACCCTTCCAAGTTCTGTGCATGAAATTTACATTTTAAAGCAAGCTTTCCTTAAAAAGCATGGGGGGGAGGGGGTCCCCGGTATTTCTAGCGCACAGCTGTCAAAATGTCCCTTTTGCATGAACATTTTCAAAGCATGGTGCAAATTTGCAAGCAGAGGTACCCACAGCCGTTTGGAAAAGGATCTAGATGGTAAAGACGGGAGCTACCCCTTTACCTAGAACGGTCATTTAAAGTTTAACTTAAGGGTTTGGGGTGCAGCTCAGAGGTAGAGCCCTCACCCCCAGCAACACCAAATATATGCATATAATCGAACTTTGAAAAGAAGGTTCCGATTGCATATTAATTCTCTGCTTGGTTTTTGCAAGTCTTTTATTTTATTTTATTTTTTTAAATGCAAAAGCTGCCCCTTCCTTTCCAAAGTCAGGAATCAGTCTTGAAAACGTTCCCTGTGAAATGAGAGGGGGGTGCACATCCCAGTCTCCCAGGTGTCTTTGATGGCAAAGCCCTGTCATTCTGTAAGGCTCTGTCCCCAATCCCAGGTCAACCCTAAACTGACAATTACTTTTTACGAGGTCTTTCATCTTGAGAGAAAAAAAAAAAAAACACCCCGGGGCAGGATGTGACCTCCCGATCATCTGTGACCTCTCCGAGAGGAGCGGCTGCAATTACACCCCCCGCCCTCGGCTGCTCCTGTGAATTCCTGTGTCCTCAGATGAAATCTGACTTCCCCTATTTTGCCACATATATACAAAAAAAGGTGCAATCCTATTCTAAAACATAATAATCAATAACACGGCTGATTTCCAGCAAGTATCTCTGTCCAGAGAGAGTCACTTTTGCACCGTGGGCATCTGGGGCTGGAGACTGCTGGGCAGTGCTGTGTACTGCAGGGTGTGGAGCAGCCTCTCTGGGCTCGCACACACCGGATTCCCCATTCCACCCGTATAGCATATAGTATATGTCCCCAGTCATTGCCAAACAACCCCCTGGGGTCCCAGCCATCTCCTCCCTGTGTTGAGAACCCTCTGAAGTAGACATAGCAAAGGAAGGACGATTCCCTTCTTGGCTGATACCGAACGCTGTGCATTACGGATAGTTCCAAATCCTGACTCTCTCCTACGACCCCGCTGTAGACTCAGCATGCAGGTTCTGTGATGGCACGGTGACCGCCCCATGACCAGACCCCCCAGGGGATGCCTGAAACCATCAATCACTTCAAACCCCACACACACTATGCTGTCTTCTCTGTGCACAAAGATATGATAAAAAAAAAAGTAATATTAACATAGGTCACATACGACAATAGCCTGCAATATGAGTGTCCTTGATTGAAACCACAGAAAGTGGATCTATGGATGAAGGGGGACTTCAGCTTTTTAAAACGTTGAAGGGTTTTAAGCTGGATGCAGTGGTGCACGCCATTAATCTTAGTGACTCAGGAGGCTGAGGTAGGAGGATTGCAAGTTGGAGGCCAGCCTCAAGGACTTAGTCAGATCCTAAGCAATTTGGTGATTCCCTGTCTCAAAATAAATAATAATAATAATAATAATAAAGGCTTTTCCAATATTTCCTTGCCAAAGTTTGAGGTGCCTGCAAACCGCAAATATTAATGTGTCTCAACTTTAAACACATCAACAGCACACACTTGCACAACTTAGATCACAGTATGTTGTTAGAATGTTTCTAATATATTCCTTCTGCCTTTTGCGAATAGGTACACTCATACATTGCTGGTGGGACTGCAAATTGGTGCAGCCAATATGGAAAGCAATATGCAGATTCCGTGGAAATCTGGAAACGGAACCACCATTTGATCCAGCCATCCCTCCCCTCAGACTATACCCAAAGAACTTAAAAACAGCAGACTACAGGGACACAGCCACATCAATGTTTATAGCAGCACAATTCACAATAGCTGAACTGTGGAGCCAACCTAGATGCCCTTCAATGGATGAATGGATAAAAAAAAATGTGGCATATATACACAATGGAATATTACTCAGCATTTAAAAAGAACAAAATCATGGCATTTTCAGGTAAATGGATGGTGTTGGAGAAGATAATGCTAAGTGAAGCTGGCCAATCCCCCCCAAAAACAAATGCTGAATGTTTTCTCTGATATAAGGAGGCTGATACATAGTGGGGTAGGGAGGGGGAGCGTGGGAGGATTAGATGAACCCTAGATAGGGCAGAGGGATGGAGGGGAAGGGAGGGGGCAGGGGAACGGCAAGGATGGTGGAATGTGGTGGTCGTCATTATCCAAAGAACAGGTATGAAGACTTGATTTGGGTGTCAACCTACTTTATATACAACCAGAGATATCAATAATTGTGCTGCATATGTGTAATAAAAATTATAATGCATTCTGCTGTCATTTATCTTTAAAAAATCAATTTAAAAAAATTTAAAAAAATATGTGTGTGCAGAATCCATTTATTCAGAGCAGAGACATCACGCAAGATGACCTGGATTGCACGAGAATGAGCTGCAAAACCCCCGTCACAGGTTATAAAGCTATCGTCTGCCAACCAATATGGAGGGCAAGACTCTGGGTTTACGAAGCCTTTGTCATTCCGCCACCCAACAATGCACCCCGTCCCCATGGCCTCTGATGTACATGCACGGTTCTCTTGCTGAGCTTCGAATAAATGCTCTTAAACCAGATGCCACCGATTGCTACGAAACACACTTCAGCTAGAGCTGGGGACTGTCTCCAAGTCCTGCATTGATCACCCTCCAAGATGCGCCATCTTGGATTCCCATGTTCACAAGACAATGGTCCCAGAAAGACTAGCCTAGCTAAGGTAAGATACTGCTGCCATATTGGTTCCAGAGGGATTGTAAGTGAAATGTCAAGATTGACCACCTACTCAAAACCCACCATCCCCAACAAGGTGCCCAATAGCGGGGGAATGGGAAATCCAAGTCTTCCACGGCCAGCATCCCATGGATTGAGCAACCCCAAGGAATGGATTAGGGACCCAGGCAATGACATTCACGGACCTTAGAAGGGAAATAAGTCAAAAACAAGAGCTTCCACTGCAAGACCCCCTGCGTAGAAAGTTCTAGAAAATGCACAAAGAACTAGAGGTTGGTAAAACCAACCCTCTCTACTTTCCACCTCACAGGTGGTTCAAAAATGCAAACATGCCCAGCTACACAATTGCAGAGAGATCCGTGCTTTTACTTACTTGCAGCCGGTCGATCCCTGGGCTCCTACATTTGTGGACACTGGTCTTTGAGTGCCGAGCTCCTACCACGGGGCTGCGTGGCTGGAGTCTTTACTATAATTAAGTATTTACCAGGTTCCCAGGCTGGGCACTGCCACGGCACATCAATTATAATTGTAGGTTGAAACACAGCCTCCCACGACACCTGTCATTTAGGAAAGGATTCATTCAACCAGCATTCAACATACGTGCACAGTGAACGGGGTCACGAAATCAAATATGGCTCCAAGATTACTTAAAAGAATTCTGATTTTTTTTTTTTTTTTGGTTCCAGGGATTGAACCCAGGGATGCTTAACCACGAAGCCACACCCCCAGCCATTTTTTTTTTTATTTTTTATGTAGAGACAGTGTCTCACTAAGTTGCCGAGGCTGGCCTCCACCTTGCCATCCTCCTGCCTCAGCCTCCAGAATTGCTGGGATTACAGGCATGCACCACTTTACCAGGCTGAGGTGATTTTTGTAAAACAACTAAGAGCTACATTTAAAAAAAAAAAAACTATAGTTAAGGGGCTGGGGTTGTGGCTCAAAGGTAGAGCGCTTGCCTGACATGGCCTCCAATTTGCCATCCTCCTGCCTCAGCCTCCTGAGTCACTGGGATCTCAGGGGCTCTCAAAAAATTTTTAGAACTTACTCGGGAGCTCAGAGGAATTCAACCAGTTTTCTTGCTTCTTACACTAAGGAATTCTGGTGCCAAGTACAGATGTGAGCGTCCTAATTGAGTCTATGAGCTGTCTGCAGCCTCGTGCAATGATACACACCTCTCTTCCCAGCTGCTGGGGAGGCTGAGGCAGGAGGGTGGCAGGTTCAAGCCCAGCCTGAGCAATTTCAGAGGGATGTAGCTCAGTGGAGGAGAAAGGAGCGTGCTCATTGGTCGCTTAACTCATTCACTCATTCATTCAACAAACACCAATGAAGCCCATGCCGGGTGGGTCCCCCAGTTCCCAGGTGCGGTCCACTCTTCTGTTCCCTCTCGAAAGCTGGCCTCCAGACTTGTCCCCAATTCCTGAAGGAATTGTCCAAGCAGGACAAGGAGAAGAACACCCACCGTACGAGCAGATCCGGGACTTTCTTAGAACTCTTAGGGACTAAAGAAAGAGAACTCGGTTGGTTCCGGTCCCCTGAGGTACTCACCGGACCCCCAGGTCCCCCTTCGCAGACCTGGTCCATTTCACAAGCCCAGTGGTTGCTGTGGGTCTGCAGGTGGGACTTGGTCTTTTCCATATCCATGTCCTTCCTTGAGTGGCACAGTCTGGATCGAGCGTCACCGACCCATGGTCCATGTATCTCACAGGTCCCACCCCAAGCAGAAAAATCAGGCCCTCCTGGGGCAGCCAGCCAGCCCAGGAGTCCAGCAACCCAGGGAAGTCCTTCAGGTGATCTCACCAGTGGGTCTGCTCTTCTGATGGAGGAAATGTTCGCAGAGATGTGAGGAAAGGCCACAAGCATCTTGCCCACAGGCCCCCAGGTCGGGGACATGTCTGTTCAGGGCGGGAGCCACTTGTCAGGGTCACAAACGAGCAGACACATGGGAGGGGCATGGGCGGATCATCTTTGGGGCAGAGAAGGTGACCAGGGATCTGAAGTAAAGCTCCAGCCCCCACCAGAGAAAGCAAGAGGTGTCCTTGTCCGGTCCCTTGGGACGTGGGAGGTGTCACACCCAGGCAAGGAGGTCTGGTGGACATGATCAGACAGGACGCCATCAACTCAGCAAGATGTCAGAGCTGTCACTCAGGGTGACAGGCAGGAGTGTTGTATTGAAGGGGTGGAGAGGGGAAGGGGACTCTCTCCAGGGACAGAGGGGGTCCTCTCAGAGAGGACAGGGACAGCGTGCCCCTCCTGGACTCCAGTTTTATCTGGGTCCCAGGGAAGTGTCCAGAGAGCCCCACCCAGGTCCCCTCCTGACTTTGATGGACAGCTCAGGAGCCGCGTGGACTCCTCCCAGGAAGGACGGTGCCCAGCTCAGAGCTGCAGGTGAAGAACCTTGACTCCCGGGCTGTGGCCCCGATCGCCTGCCCCCTGACCCACCGTCCACCCTCTGACTCTCCCCACGTGCCCATCTCATGAGGGTCTTGGTGCTGTGGCTCTCGGGGGGTGAGGGTCTGGAACGTGGTCCTGGGGACCAGGGCAGGACCTGGAGCCTCGGTTACAAGACATTTTTTGCCAGGGATTGAACCCAGGAGCACTTAAACCCGGAGCCATATCCCCAGTGCTTTTTATTTTTTATTATTATTTTTATTTTGAAACAGGGCCTCACTATGTTGCTTAGAGCCTCACTAAATTGCAGAGGCTGGCCTCCAACTTGTGATCCTCCAGTCTCAGCCTCCTGACTTGTTGGGATGACAGGTGTGCACCACTGCATCCGGCCTCTGTTTCTCTCTTTCTTTTTTCTTTTTATTTTTTAGTTATACGTGGACACAATACCTTTGTTTCATTTATTCAATTTTATGTGGTGCCGAGGATCGAACCCAGAGCCTCCCACCTGCTGGGCAAGCGCTCTGCCACTGAGCCCCAGCCCCAGCCCCAGGCAGGTGGGTGTGTCAGGAAGCTGGGCTCCTCTCCACGGGCTTCCTGGACCTTCTAGAAGCTGCCGTTGACAGAGCTGAGGTGCTTTTCTCCTCTTAAGGTCTCCGATATTCACGGCGCTGAACCTAGACACCGGGATTTGCTCAGTGCCACTGAGATCCCTCAGGGTCCGACCAGGACAAGGTAGAGCAGTCGGGCGGGGTGTTGCCCAGACGTGCCCGGCCCTGCAGGGACATTCCTCCGGGGAGCACGGCGCCCGGGTGAGCCGGGTTGGCAGTGTCTGGTTTTATCTTAAGACCATCAGAGCTGCAGCAACCCGCTAAGGAATGTGCATGTTGAGATTGCTGAGCTCGGGGTCACCGGTGGCTCCACCATAGCCCTGGGGGGTCCCCAGGTTCCTGGAGAAAGGGCAGGGACAGCTAGGGGAGGGGGGCTCTGTCTAGGAGGGGCTGCTCCCTCTGTGCCCCAAGCTCCACTGGACAGCAGTGTCATGAGACATGAGACGGCAGGAGGAGGTGGGTAAGGGGAGGAGAATGACCCAGCGCTTCTAATATTTATTAGAAAACTGTAAGGACAACTATTTTAAAGGCTTCATGGTGTTTTCTTTTAACTACCCCATTAGCCTTATTTAAAAAAAAAAAAAATACTGTCATTGCCGGGCACAGTGGGGCATGCCTGTAATCCCAGCGGCTCAGGAGGCTGAGGCAGGAGGATCACAAGTTGAGGCCAGCCTCAGCAACTTATGGAGGCCCTAAGCAACTCAGGGAGACCCTGTGTCTAAAAAATACAAAATAGGGCTGGGGATGGGGTTCCATCCCTGGTACCAAATTTAAAAAAAATAAAACTATGTAAAGTGGCATGTGTCCCCAATGACGATTTAGACAGCATTCACATCGTAATAAGCATTAGGGGCCATTTGTGTTTGATTTTAAGAGGGTGGACATGGGTTATTAGGAAAGAGTAGACCATTTAAATGAGTGTCGTAGGTGTCTTCCGATTGCAGGACTGGGGTCCAGGGGGGTCCTGCGCTCGGTCCCCCTTGCAGGACAGTGATGGGCAGTGCACTATGCAAAGTTGTGACTGCCGATCAGAAGAGATAGACGCAGCCTTTGGTGGCACAAGCCTGCAGACAAGGTCCCTGGTACCCGAGACCAATCTCCACCCACATAGAACAGGGCAGGTGCGGTCAGATGAGCTGTATTTGCAGAGAGAAGAAGACAGGGCAGAAAGATAAGGAGATGCCACTCCCTGTGACCATCCGCGAGAGCCAGGGCTGCCCGGCCTTGTTTAAGGACACGGCATGACCTACCTGGTTGATCCTGCCAGGAGCACATGCTTGTCCCAAAGATTAGAGCCATGCATGTCCAACAAGAATGATGGTCTTCTTAATCTGGCTGAGGAAATTTCTAAGCAACCTAGTGTTCAGGATGTGGCCTGGACACTGCTGGCCACTTTTAGCCAAGTTCATTGTGATATTCAGGGACAGAAATCAGAGCAGAAGGATTTCGAAAAACTTTGAAAGGCCAGAGTGAAACTGAGGCTAAGGGGCTCATGCTCAGAGTTTGCCTCGAGTCTCAGGGAAAGACTTTGCACTTGGACCCTCGGGTCATCTTGAAACTGTCGGTCGACACTGTGGGGACTCTTGAAAACGCACTTTAATGTATTTTGCATTGGGGGGTGAGCATGAACTTTTTAAAAATTATTTTAATTTATATTTTAGGTGTAGAGAGACACAACACAATGCCTTTTATTAATATCCCTGAAAGCTGGTAGACCAGGGGTGGGGGTGGGGATGGGAGGGTGCGGTGGGGTGAGGTGGGGGGTGGACACGGCTTGTTCCACGGGGCTCAAGGTCGATGGCGTGTGGAACAGAGAGGCCTGTCCTCAGTGCTTGGCTTTGCTTTCCCCACTCCAGGCAAGTTGGGGGACACCAAATGCAACCAGGCAACCCGGTTACACTGTATCTAAAGCTGCCACCCGTCAAAGCAAGGGAGCTGCTTACATCGTACCCAAGGCGATGCCAATCAAACCAACAAGCTGGTTACATTGTATCCAAGGCGATGTCCCCAGGCTTCCTGGGCCCCCCAGGCCCCCCAGGCCCCCCAGCCCTTCCACACCGCACGACTCTGCTTCTCTCCTGCGATACACTCAGCAGGGCTCCTTGGCGCCCCCTGGTGCTGAGTGTGTGTGCTTCCTGCAGAGTGATTGACAGCCGGGACCTGCCGCCCCTGGTCCTGGAGACCATGAGGTCCTACTGCATCATGGCCAGAGGTTTCTGCACACAGCCCGGTGGCAACAACAGGACCGTGGGTACAACAAGGTCCCCTACAGACACAGACACCCAGCACCCTGCGACGAGACCTCTGGTGGCTCCAGACAGTGCAAGATGGCTCCGGAGGTCACTTTTACCAAGTGAGACCCGCGTCCTCACGCCTAACTCCGAGCCCGGGTTCCACGAGGTGATGG